ATAAATATAAATATAATTTATTTATTTCATATATACAATATGGATGTCAAATCGAAGATCATCAAAAGATGATTAATTTGACATATTATATATGTAAAACCGATACGAAATACAGAAGCTATCGACTTTTAAAATACATTATATTTCAATAGCTAATTGAAAGAAAAACAAATCAAAAGTCAGGGATATATTAGTCACTTAGTGCCTCGTAAAATTATAAAGAAATAAAGGTTATATTATTACAAGGATATTAAAATACCTAAATTAGCTAAATAATATTTATGGAATGTCCAAACCTAAATTATTAATTATTAATATATCAATATTATTTGTTCAAACCTAATTACGAAGCATGATTCTTTGCCAAGTAGGATTCCGAAGCACTAGAAGCAGCCACGTAGGCTCAGCGCATTCTGGAATAATATATAGGGGGGATTTTTTTTTAACTTACAATATATAACTACATTACATATAAATATATCAATTGAGAAATAATTTTATTTTTCTAATAAATTTTCATAAATATTATTATTTTTTATTATTATAAAGATAATTATAATTTATTTATTTCATATATACAATATGGATGTCAAATCGAAGATCATCAAAAGATGATTAATTTGATATATTATATATGTAAAACCGATAAGAAATACAAAAGTTATTAACTTTTTAAATACATTTATAATTCAATAGCTTATTGAAGGAAACAAATCAAAATTCAGGGATATATTAGTCACTTACTGCCTCACTATGGAAAATTACAAAAAATTAAAGGGTTATATTAGTAAAAGTAATATTAAAATACTTAAGTTAACTAAATAATATTTATGGAATACCCGAACCTAGATTATTAGTTATTAATATATCAATATTATTTATCCAAACCTAATTACGAAGCATGATTCTTCGCCAAATAGGATTCCGAAGTACCAGAAGCAGCCACGTAGGCTCAGCGCATTCGGGAATTATATATAGGGAGGATTTAATAAGTATTTTTTATTAATGGTTAAATATTTAATGAAAAATTAAATATTTTAATAAAAAAAATATTTTTCAGTTTTTATTAAATATTTCGTTTTTGTATTAAATACTTACTCATTAAATAAAAACTATTTATCACTCATTATAAATTTATTTCATTTTTATTAAATATTTTGTTTTTATTTAATCATTAAATATTTTATTTTTTATTAAATTAAAAAATTATATTTTTTCTTTTTCTTTTGATTTTATCTTTTTCTTTTTAAAGCTTTTTATTTTTCGTTTGATTTTTTTAATTTTTTTTCTGATTTTGTAAACTGGAAACAATTAAAGGACGAAAGTGCAACGAATGTAAAGTTAGTGGACGAATAGTGCAATTTTTCCGATCTGACTAGGCGCCACCTCGTGCCACATCACGCCGAGAATGAAAATTCCGATCTGACTGGGCGCCACATTAGCTATTCCGGCAAAAATGAGCACCGGAATGTCATTTTGGACTAAAATTGCCAAAAAAAAAGTTTGTGTACCAATTGAAAATGAGCACCAGAATGTCTGTGGCGATGGCCTTGCCTTGGTTTCCCTCTATTCCGGTCGTCCCTGGTGTTGAGACGGTGCGGTCCTCCGGTGGCGGCGACGTGGTTGCGTGACGGCTCCGGTGTATGCGTGGGGGTGCTGTGGTGTGGGTCGGCTGGGGTGGGTTCTCGAAGATCTGGGGGCTGTCGGTTTTGCTGTCCGATTGGCTTCCTCTTGATCTTCGGGGTCGGATGTTCTGTCGGTTTTGTGGTGATGGGTCTTCGCTTGAGGGGAGGGCGTTGTTTTTTTAGCTTTGTTGTGTTTTCTTTTTCCT